AGGAACCAAGGCAAAGGTTGAAAACCTTTGGTGAGAACCTTAGAGAGAAAATTCTCTTCGGTTTTAGGAGAGACATTTGGGAGAGAAATCTGAAGTTTTATTTCTCAAATATCCAAAAGTGATTACAAGTGAAGAGAAAACAAATATATAAGGAGAGGTAGCTTCTAGTGTAAGCTAACCTTAACCATGGTTCACTAGGAACCATGGTAAGGTGTAGCTAACCATCCATGGTTTCTAAAACATGTAGGAGAAGCTAACCTTGACCATGGTTCACTTCAGAACCATGGTAAGGTCAGCCAAACTTGCTAAGGTTTAGAAGCTTGGAAGGCAAGCTTCAAAAACCAAGAAGAGTAGCATAGAAATTTCGGCCAAAGAGAAACAAGTGAGCTAGGCGGCCAAGGCTCCATTTCCTCCTTTGAATTATTTCAAAAATTGTTGATTTGGTTTAGTTAGGTTCATCAAATGATGATGAGACCTAGCTAAATCAAATCTATGAAAAATTAGGAGTAAAATGAGTCTAATATGCAAAATTTTGCCTAGGCCCAACTCAGGCCCAATTTCTAAACACACTCTCTAGCTTTGCTAAATGTCACCCCCTTTCCCTATTGAAAAAATAGAAAATGAATGTATCAACAAAGGAGGTTAAATGGAGTTAAACTCTCCAAGTAACTCATCCTAAAAACAATATACAATCACTAATAAAAGCAAGTAAAGTGCCTCATAAATACAAAGGCAAAAATAAGCCTATACAAAGAAACTACTATATGTACAAACATATGAAAAGGTCTTTAAGATCATCCCATTCCTCTTGGTTCTTTTAAGATATCACCTCTTGGATTTCTTGGCCTTGGCCAGTTGATACATTCATTTTCTATTTTTTCAATAGGGAAAGGGGGTGACATTTAGCAAAGCTAGGGAGTGTGTTTAGAAATTGGGCCTGAGTTGGGCCTAGGCAAAATATTTTCATATTTTAGGGTGAGATAAATATTTTATAAGTTATAATTGATTTGCTTAATTAATTAAAGGTAATCATCTTAGGATGAATGTCGTAGGGTGTTAATACATTCCCTATACGTAATCAATTCCTGAACTCAAAATTTGATTTTCAAAGGCCATTTTATTAAGCTTTTTTTATTAATATTTTCATAAAATATATATTGGTGGCAACTTCATGTTTTTAATTTATTTTCACCGTCCCATTGCAATCTCGATTGTAAGACCCTTCTTCCAACAACTAACAAGGACTTGACAAACGAATTCAAGGTAAACATTAGAAAGTAGCAATTTGTAAGCCATCTAGATTGTCCATTTGAAGGCCATTCCTTCTACTAATAGGGGATAGCAACGATGAGGAACAAAGGTAATTGTAGATGCCATGACTTCCCCCTGGTGATTTCTAAAAATTACCCTGAACTTAGTTCCCCTTCCTACCTTAATAGAGGCATCAAAAGTGGCCTTAAGTAATAGAAGACCTTAGGCCAAAGGCCCAATTACTATGGCCATGGCTAGGAGCATACATGAGGGATTGGCTAGCTTGGAGGATAGTGGGCTTTCTAGGCCGAAGCTACTCTTCACTTGGGCCATTACATCTTGAGGCTTGGCCTAGAAAATTTGTATATAGATTAGGACTATTTCATTATATTCATTTTGCCTTGTATTTTAGGTGTTTTTGACCATAGGCTTTACATAGCCAATATCGGTCTCATTTCCTTTGTCTTTTTATTTTAGGAATTATTGTATAGTTTATTTTTGACCTTGTATTTTAGGTCAAGTAGTGTAGGACATTTTTAGGGTAGAGAGAACCTTATGTGCACTAGAATGTAATTTAGGTTAGCATTTCATTTGAATTTGAAGCATGCATGAATGGTCACGCCTAGGTGCCATTCACATGTCTCAAATCCAAATGAAATGCCACTTAAATCACATTCCAAATGAACACAAGGTCCATATGAGTGTGTGCGATGTGAGTGTGACAAACCAAGGCACCCAAATTTGAATTTCAAATTCAAATTTGGGAAGATTAGGGTCAAAGTGACCATACCATGGTTCACTTTAAATCCTAGTTAGCCTAACTTCTCCCACAAGCTTCTCCACGCCTATATATACCCTACACACTTGTAGCTGACCACTTTTTGATGATATATGAGTTTTCACTTCAGAAAATTCTCTCAAAGAGTCCTTGAGAACCTTAGGTTCTCCCTTCATAAGCTCCTTCATAAAGGAATCATTCCTTTGTGCATTGGTGCTTCTTCCTGCTTCACTTGGGAGACAAACTAGCCATGGATCCAACACCTTCTTCACGAGTTTTGGAACCACATTCATCCATTGGAGCCTCAAAGGAAGACATGTGGACATTGGAGGAAGCAAGGAGAAGAACATCCATCACTTCTTCTAGCTTGTTCCATCATTAAGGTAGCCTATAGGTGGTGGCTTCCGAAAATGATGGGATGGCTGATTGTTAAGAGAATGATCTAGATGAGGACTATGGAGAGCGCTTACCCTCTTAAGGATTTGTCCCATATCAAAAATTTTATTTTCAAATATTAGAGAGTTCTTGGATTGCCAAATCACAAATAGAATCTGCAATGTTTGCTACACTCTTTACATAACCAAGTTGCATAATTTGGAGGAGACAATCCATGAAATTAATTAGCATAATCATTGGTATTTATCCTGAGAGCCATTGGAGATGCAAATCACCATCTTTTAACCTGTTCACATGTCAATAAAGCTTGAGTGATAGTTTCATTTGCTTGCTCACATCTAGCACAAACTAAGTCCAATTACAACCCCTATTAGACAAATTCATCCTAGTAGGTAAGACATTTTTAACTGTCCTCCACACCAAGTTGGTACATCTAGGAATAGCCTTGATCTTCCATATTTTCTTCCAAACATCTCCTAGAACCCTGCTTGGACTGGTGTTGTGATTCTCCATCAGTGATTGAGCAATTTTATACCCTGACTTAGCTGTGTAACAACCATGAGTAGAATTCGTCCAAAATAGTGTGTTAAGATGTGAAGTGTTCCTCAAGGGAATGGTTGTGACCTACCTTTGTTCCTCAATGGTAAAATTTGTATTCAACATATGTATATCCTAGCTTCGTGAACCAAAATCAATCAAATATGCCACATAAAGGTTCTCATTCACCACTTTATTTGCCCTAAATGTCACACTGTTATCCACCCTATCAAGGATCCACTTATCTTTCCAAACTTTAATCTGGTGCCCAGTACCAATCCTCTAGATCAAGTTGGTGATGTCAAGTTTCTATGATTGATTCTGCATAGTTTTCTGGTTATAGACACACCCTAGTAGGACTTGGCTGTAATACTTTCAATATGATTACAAATGTAGGTTGGGAGAAGAAAACACCCAATTATGTATGTTGTAATTGTTTGGACCACAACTTTAATTAAACCCTCTCTACCTGCCTAGGATAAAGCTTTTTCTTTCCAACCCTTAAGCTTTTTCCAAACCTTTTTCTTAACAAAATTGAAGATTTGATTCTTCGATCTGCCTATCAAAGTTGGAAGTCCAAGGTACTTGTCATGCTTCTCAACTGTTGTTATGTCTAAAAGTTGAGTAAGCTCATTTCTATTGGTGCTAGGGAAATTTTGGTTGAATGAGATTTCTGACTTTTGGAAATTAACCCTCGTACCTGAGGCTCTTTCATAAACTTTCAAAATTCTAGTTAGTTGCCTAGCTTCCTCAAGGGTAGCATGCCCAAAGATGACATTCAGCAAAAAGCATACGGAAGATAGTAGGTGCTCTAGGGCGGATTCGAATGCCATGGAGAGAGCTCATACTAACACCTATTTCAAAATCATGATAGATAGGGCCTCAACATAAAGAATAAATAGTAAAAGGGAAAGAGGGTCTCCTTGCC